CTGTCCTTCACTAGCTCCCAGAGTTTGCTCAAACTCATGTTCACTGAGTCAGTGATGCCATCCAACTTTTGTAATAGAGAACCAAAACAACAATAGCTAAGTGAAAGTTGTGTCTGACTCTTTGAGACCCCATAGACTATACAGTCCATGGAATTCTCCAGGCCAGAATACTGGAGTGGGTAGCCTTTCCCTTCTCCAGGGGATCTTCCCAACCCAGGGATCAAACCCAGGTCTCCCTCATTGCAGGTGGATTCTTTACTACCTGAGCCACAAGGGAAGCCCAATAAGAAATAACAATGGCTTAAGCAAAATGAATGCTTATTTTTCTTCTGTATAATAGTTCCAACACAGGCAATGGAAACATGGGTGACAGATCAGAGTCAAAGAGCTGGGCTTCTTCTAACTGGTTGGTCTGCTTTCCTAGCTTATGTCCTGCCCATGTGACCCAAGATGGCACACTATCTCCTTTCTGGATGGACAAACAGATGAGAGGCAGGCACACTCCTTCCCTGTAAGGGCTTGGCTTAGAAAGTGTATATCTCATTCTCTTCAGCAACTCTTCAGCCAGAATTTAGCCATAGGGCCATATCTAGCTTCAAAAGAAGATGAAATGTCTTATTTTTATTCTGGGTGACCAGGTGTTCTTATAAAAACCAGGGAATCAGTTGCCCTGAGATACAAAGGAAACATGACATAGGGCAACCCTCAGGCTATGCCACAACGCCCTCCGGGAGTGTGGAATCTGCTGGGGAAGGAAAGCACACGGCTGAATTCCAACATTTCATCCTAGAATGAGCCAAACACCTGTTAGGACGGAAGTCTAGAGGAGGGGGTAGATTGGGGACTTGTATACAGAGGGAGCTACAGGATCTACCGCAAAGGATAGTCAAAGGCCTAACATGAACTCAAGAGGACAGGGACAAGCTGGGTGGAAGAAGGTAGCATGAGTTCCAGGGTCACAGACCAGAGCTTGAATCCTGCCCCACCACTTTCTTTCAGGACGACTGTGGAAAGCAGGACTCAAAAGAGACATCCCCACCCCGGCCAAGATTCCAGACCCCTGCTTATTTGATCAAAACATCAAAATGGCAACATTTCATTCTTTTTACTGGCTGAGTAGTATCCCATTGTGTGTGTGTGTGTGTGTGTGTGTGTGTATACATACACCGTATATATACTCTATATATATGCACTATATATATATATACACACACACACACACCATACATATATGCACCACATATATGCCACATATATATGTGGTGTATATATACACCACATCTTCTTTATCCATTCCTCTATTGATATACTCTTAGGTTGCTTCCTTATCTTGGCAATTGTAAATAATGCTGCTATGAACACTAGGTGCATATATCTTTTCAAAGAGACAGAAACTATTTTAGCCCCATTTGCAAGAGAGGAAGCTGAGATACAAAGATATGAAATGATTTTCCCAAGGTTCTACAGCTGCTCAGAGACAAAGCTGAAATGACACTGCAAGCTGTGTGGCTTCAAGCTCTGAGAGGCAGGAATGCCGATGTCCCCAGCCCACCCCCACTGTACAGATGAGCAAAGAGAGACTGGGAGCCTTGGAGTCCCATGGCGAGTTTGCAGTGAGTCAAGTGAGTCTTGGGTTGAGATAATGATGACCACAAGCCTTGCAGCCACAGCCCACAGTGCAGTTGATGGTTTCCTCTCATCTTTTCCAGATGGCAGGGAAGCCAGGGTCCCGCTGCTCAGCTTCCGAAACAAGCAGGCAGCTCAAGCAGAAAAGCCACAACTTCCATTTGTTTAAAGCCCAGAAGAGAGAAAAGCAAACTGAAATTCCAACAGAGATCCTCCATGTATTCACTGATCATCTGGCCTCTTCCAGATGCCAGCCACTGTCCTTGGGGCTGGGTGAGCAAGATGCACGCGGTCACTGCAAGGTGGTCAGCACAAGAATCAAAATCAGACCGTTGCTGTTGTTTAGTCATTAAGTCGTGTCCGACTCTTTGCAACCCCATGGATTCTAGCCCACCAGTTTCCTCTGCCCATGGGATTTCCCAGGCAACTTTACTGGAGTGGGTTGCTATTTCCTTCTCCAGGGGAATCTTTCCAACTCAGGGATCGAACCCACGTTAGCAGGAGGATTCTTAACCACTGAGCCCTCAGGGAAACCTGAGACCATTGTAAGTGATCAAAGCAAGATAGGTGGACCACAGGAGTAAATCAGATCATGTTGACAGAGGAAGACTTTCTGGCCAGGGTCCTACCACTCAAGGCCTGTGGGGGACTGCAGTTGGGCATCTACTGGCCACTGCTGCCACTACCCTCTGTCCACTGTTCAGTAAGAGTCTGGGCATCACTGTCCGTGTTAGGGGGGTCTGGGGTGGCCTCCTAAGCCCTGGGAAGCCAGCATGAAGGTTAACACCCAAGAAATCCCTCAGGCACCAGGAAAGTCTGGGCTTCACCTTGTCCCCACATCAGAATACCATCCTCCCTGCTGACCTCAGTGACCCCAGCTTCATGGCAATGATACTCTAATCTCTAAAGCTGAGAATCAACAGAATGGATGCTCAGCAGGACCTAAAGGAGGAAGGTGTGAGGTCTCCAGCCAGCGCCAGCTTCTGCCACCAATTTCCCTCCCTTTCTGAATCCTGCTTTCCAAACTCTAGAATGAAAGATGGAAGAGAGATGCTTTTGTGGGTCCCCTTCCCATGCTGGAGGCTGACCCATGCTTACTCCTCCCAGGTTCAGCCAGCCGTGGTCCCCGCCTGCCGCGTGCCCAGCCCTGCATTCATAACTGGGCATGGATGTTTGGGTTCCCTCTCCCCACTTGGCAGCTGTCAAATGGAGCCACACATGGGGCCACTGGCCCGCCCACGGGCAGGGCTGTCTGGTTCTGCATGGAGGTGCCTGTGTGCAGATCCGCGTTAGCCTGCATCGCTTTAAATCACCTTGAAAATTGACTTTGGAGGAGAGCTTGACAGGTGAGGCGTGTTTTCCTACTGGAAAAACAAGCAGAGCAACAGCCCAAGGCAACCCCACGGAAGTCATGCAGGACCTGAGGTTGAATAGGCCCTAACAGATCAGTTGAGAAGATTCCAGCTGCGGTCAGCAGCACAAGGGGACCCTGTCAGGTCCTGGGACCCTCAGCGGAGCCGAACCCCAGCCCGGCAGGGTCTTGCCTGGCTCACTGGGACCTGTGTGGCTGCAGAAGCCCTTTCACCCCTCACTGGCTCTCCTTCCTCCAGTCAAAGCCTGCTTGAGATAAAGTTGAGAGTTTGCTGAGGATTTGGGTCAGTTCACCAGTTTAGCAATTTAGCAGTTTACAAATAAAGAGCCCAGAATGGAGAAAGGTGTTTCCAGAAGGCATGCAAATGCACAAGAAGAACATGATAAGATGCTTCACCTCTAGGACCACCAAGAGATAATCATGTGAACGTGAGATCACAACAAAGTAAAATATTGCTGACACTTGGGGTGCAGAGGGCGGGGAGATAGGCTTTCCCCTGCCCCACTGATGGGAATGGAAAATGGTCAACCTTTTGGAGTCCAACTTGGCACAGTTGGCACAGCGATCAGTCCTCTCAGAACTTTTTTCCCAACATCATGATCAGACAAACTCACAATGTGTTTGTACCACGAGGTTTGTTGAAGCCAGAAAATGCCCCCTGAAAAAAGTTAAAACCCTAGTGCCATTTGCAGTAACTTGGATGAACCTAGAGATGATCATACTAAGTGAACTAAGTCAGACAAAGGCAAATATCATATGATATCACTCATTTGTGGAATCTGATTTTTTAAATGATATAAATGAACTTATTTACAAAACAGAAACAGACAGATTTCAAAAAAAAATTATGGTTACCAAAGGGGAAGCATGGCAGGGATGGGTAAATTAGGAGCTTGGGATTATACACACACTACTGTATATAGAACAGATAACCAACAAGGACCTACTGTATAACACAAGGGAACTCTACTCCATATTCTATAATACCCTATAGAGGAAAAGGATCTGAAAAAGAACGAATATATGTATATCTATAACTGAATCACTAGTGAGTACACCTGAAACTAACACAGCATTGCAAATCAACCATATTCCAATAAAAATTCTAAAAAAAGTGAAAGCCCCAACAAAAAAGGCTTGATCAACTTCATCACAGGACATGCACACAATGAAATGTGACGCAGTCATGTAAAATGCTGGTATTGCTCTACATTATCTGGCTGGGAAAGAAAGACTCTGCTATTAGAGTTTTGAGTGGGAAAATAGCAAATTTCAGAGCAGGGCACAATGACAATCACATTTGTGCAAAATTGCTCCTGCAGTGGGGTGTACGAGTGCAGTGTGCAGTCAGACCCTGCAGATGACAGGGCCGCAGTGTTATTCTCTGGGGGAAGAAACTGGAGAGGTTTTAGTGTTCCTCTTTATACTCTTCCCATGTGGTTTGAATTCTTTGCAAGGATCATGTATCATTTTTATAATCAGGAAAAGTACAATTAAAAACAGGTTCCATTTGAAGAAGGGAGCGAATTCAGTAAGGCACAAAGAATCAGGCCGTGGCCATGCCTGGGTGGGAGGTAAATTGGCCCCACACCTTCCAGAGCTAGAACCCTGCAAGGCCACCCAACCCACTCACCCCAGCACACCCCACAACCGCCTGCACCTGCTGCTGCCCCCTGAGTCCAGCCCCCAACACACACACACACGTGCGCACACACACACACATACACACACACATGCACGGGTTGCCATGTGCGCCAGGAAGCAGGGCCTCCTGCTCTCCACGAGGGCCCCATAAGGACCCCTCCCGTGCATGGGTCTGGAAAGTGCAGGACGAGGAGATGAGGATCATCCCTGGGGCATCATTCAGGGTGAGAACAAGGAGGGCCACAGGAAACCCAATGAAAGCCAGGCTTCTGGAGTCAGTTTGGCCAGCTGAACATCAGTGAGCAAGGAACACCATCTCTGCTTCCATCCAGATCACATCGGGTGATCCCAGGAGCAGATGCACGAGAGGGCTGAGCACAGGGTCCACACCGGGGCCTGGGCTTCATGCAGGAGCAGATGGTAAGAAGGAATCACTGTCGTTACTAGGCCTGTGGTTCCTGCCCCCAAGGAACTCGAGGCTCTGGCTGGAGGCGAACCTTAAGTACGTGGGGACTGGGTGTCAGCCACCAGGGACCTGGGCCGTGGGTGGGGAGGCCAGAGATGCTGGCAGGTCGGCAGAAACACAGCATCACTGCATCCTACTCACCCTCCCACAAGCTTCCCAAATGGAGCTGAGAACCTCCCGTGCACCCCACGCTTCACACTCAGCTCTCCTGGGCCTCCCAGCAACCTGGGAGGTGACCAGGACTCTCCTTTCAGGGAGGGAACCGCACCTGAGTGACAGCTGATGTAATAGGGCTGGTAAGTGCAGAGACAGGAGCCTCCACCTGGATTCTGGGTCCTGAGTCTGAAAGGTGGACACCTGGGAAAGGTCCTGACCCTTGGTCTAAGGACTATTAACATACCTCTCAAACCCTCAAATTACAGATGTTTTCCCACCCAGGGTGAATTAGGGGCATTTTATCATTTCTGGGGCTCAGATTTGGATTAATCCATTCCCCAGTGACTTCCAAGGTCACTGTCAAGCTCTGGGAGAGAAAATACCTTGCTTTTTTTAAAAAAAGAAATATTTCTTTATCTACTTTTGGCTGCATTGGGTCTTAGTTTCAGCAAGTGGGATCCTTATTGTGGTGCATGGGCTTCTCTCTAGTTGAGGTACACAGGCTCTGTACTTGTGGCATGCAAGCTAAGCTGCCTGCCACCTTGTGGGATCTCGGTTTCCTGGCCAGGGATTGAACCCATGTCTCCTGCATTGCAAGGCAGATTCTTAACCACTGGACCACCAGGAAGTCCTGAGAATACTCCCTGCTCTTATAAGTTGGGAGGAATTGTGCACATCCGCAGTCACAGGGCACATCCACAGGGCCTGTCTTATTCACTAAGTGGGGGGAGCCCAAGTCCCCAGACATCCTGGTGTTTACCACCCCTCAAATATGTGTGGGGTGGAAGGAGATGAGTCAGGTGACCATCTGCTCAGGTTTGAAGGAAAACGGAGGGTGGGTAGAAATGGGGGCAACGGTCAACTCTTTGAAAAGATACCAGGTCAAGGGGAACAGAGAAATAGGGTGATAGTGATGGAGAATGTGGATGGAGATTAGTCCTTTTATTTCAAGATGACAGAAATAACATTGAGTTATAAACAGCTTGGGAAGAGGGGATCTGACAACTCGGGAGAGTGAGGAGCAAGTCGGATACACACACGTGGAAGAGTTGGCCATTGATGGGAACACAGACTGTTTAAGAAATTGCATTAGCTAAAGAAATCCGTTACTTTCCAGCGTGGATAATGATTAAAAGTAATTTCTTACCAAGCCTTCTCTACCAGCCAGGAACGTGTCCATAGGGACACTCAATAAACATTTATTGATGGATTGATTTTCAACTACAGTTCCTCCTGAACTTGAACACACTAAGATTCACGTGTAATTGGAAGCATCTCATCACCTCCACTTAGTAAGCCAAAGTCCCAACAACAGTTTGCTCTCAGTCTTGCTCTCAGTCCAGCCAGCCTGGCCCTGGCTTAAATTATCACTTCCAAATTGGTGAGGCCTGAATTAATGAGATTTTACTGCCCTCATGGCTTTAGATGAAAATCAATGCTGTACCCAAATGCAAGTCGATGGAAAACAGTTGGGGAAGCAGAAACTCATCAACCACTCTCTCTTATTTTCCTTTGAGGCACCGATCAAGGCCTCTGCACCTTCTTGAGCTTTTCCACAGCTTGTTGGCATACTTGAGATGCACCTGTCAGAAACTGTAGCCCTGATACCTGGTACCCTGTCTTGGGGAGAACCTGAGCCCATCATTGTCAAAACCAGTGTTCTCCTCAGGAGGACTTGTTCCAAAAGTACAGCCTTTAGGGCAAGGCTTCTCAAGCTTAGGTGAACGTGAATCACCTGTGAATCTCCATGAAGAGCAGGGTCTGGGGGCAGAGTTGAGATTCCACCAATGCTGCTAATTGGGGACCACTTTCAGAAGAACAGGGCACTGAGGATGCGCTAATCTGCAAGTAACAGCAGCTGGCATGTCAGACCAGCTGAAATGAGAATGATTTGCTTTTATCTCACTCTACAAGAGACCCCCACAGCAGGGCAGGACTAGGGATGGCAAACTCAGAGCCCCTATCAAGGACCTGAGTCTTTTCTTTCTCTCCCTCTGGTCTTGCTGGAGTGCAAGCTTTGTCTTCAGGCTGTCATAGTCACAAGACGGCCAAAGCCATCCCAGGAGTTATATCCAGTCCCGACAGCATCCAGCCAAACACAAGAGACTGGACCCTCATTTTTAGATAAACCCTTCCCAGGGGCCCTGATGGATAGCTTTGGTGCCTTACTAGCCAGACCGAAGACACTTGCTCCCCTGAAGCTAGCGCTGGTCAGAGCAATGGGCTTGTCCAAGCTGAGTGACCCTAATCAGAATTCAACTCCAGAGCGGGGATGGGATTGTCACCCCTGAACACATTCCTGACTTGGAAGGTGGGCACCCACACCTGATAGAGTTCCCACCACCAAGGATGAGGCGTGCTGGTCCACAACGCCGCCTGCTGCAGCAACAGCCGCTGCATCCCAGGCTGGGCCTTGCCAAGGGGCCACGCCTTTCTGTGGAAGAAACTGAGCGTCACGGGGAGGTGGCCTGAGCTGAGCCCTGTCTTCTGACCCTAAGTTCAGTGTTGCTCTGTGTCACCTCCTCCCAGCCCAGATGGGAAGCCCGTGAGAGAAGGAGACCCTGCAGGCATGCTATACCCACTAAGGTCTCTGACAACATGGCTGTGCTCACTTCAACACATTGGTCCCCTCCATCAGAGGGTTTGCTTGTGTGCGTGCTAAGTCACTTCAGTCATGTCCAACTCTTTGCAACCCTATGGACTGTGGTTCACCAGGCTCCTCTGTCCACAGGATTCTCCAGGCAAGAATACTGGAGTGGGTTGCCATACCCTCCCCCAGGGCGTCTTCCTGACCCAGGGATCAAACCCGCATCTCCTGCGTTGGCAGGCGGGTTCTTTACTGCTTAGCCGCTGGGGAAGCCCATCTGAGGGTTTAGGGTCAATAAAAGTCAGATCAACCGCTAATCACGATTGTGAAGGTTGAATGATCACAGAGCTTGAGTCACTAACCCAGAGACAGATGGCAAGTCGGGAACACAAAAACAAACCCTGCGTGGCATGTTGCCGACGGACAAGAGAGGTGACAATCTTATTCAAAACCGGGATGTGTAGCCAGCTGTGTTTCCAGCCCGCCCATCCTTACCCAAGCCCAGGCGAGGCCACCAACACAGTGACCATTCTTCTTTGCCAACGGGGCCTGAGCCACGACCCTAGGGGCTCACATTACAGGACACACACACAGACAGCCCTGTGTCTGCCTCCCGCTCGGAACGTTATGAAAAGAAACAGCCATGGGGAGAAAGTTTATTTTTCCTGAGTTGTTGGCCGATCAGCCGACATGCCACCAACACGGATTATTTGGCATCACAGGCCTTCCCTCCCCTGTTCCTCGCTCCATGCACCTGAACCAACACCACTGACCATCAGGGGGAATACGGACATAGGCGCTGCAGGCAGAAAGAAGGCCTGTGCTGCCTCCTCTCGTGTGCCAGGCTAGTTAGAAATCGAAACTTCACTATCCTTTCAAATGGCCCCCACTTCAAAGATACTTTGCAATTTCTTAATCTGGGTCTGTTCTGTGAACAAGCCACTTGGGCAGAACCCAGAGGTGGTCCGTAAGGAAAAGACCCAGAGCAGAGATGTCCGCAGGAAAACAAGACCCTGCTGCTACTTCCTGACTTGGGCAGCTTCGGGACCCACCACCCCTCTAGGAATGGACAGGTGGCCCTCTTCCCTCCATTGTATGGACCCTGCCACTGAAGCCCACTGCCCTTTACCATGCTTCCTTCTTGCTGGAGCTGCTAATTTGCTCCACAAAACCATCCTTCCCAGATAACACCTTGGACCACTGTGGACCCCTCCTCTCCATCATCACACCAGACCATGCACAGAAACCCTCCCCTCCACCCCGACACCCTTACAAAAGTTCTTAGGTCACGTCATTTCAGCAGGACTGGATGTTCAGGTCTGAAAGTCGCCTCTGAATATGCAAGTGGTATTTGCCCAACAATTATTTGCTATGCATAAGATGTCTGTGCACGGCTGGTGATTTTCTTGAATAAACAGATGTCCCAAACTTCCTTCCTCTTGCTGTGTTAAACCCCATGTCTGGGCCCATCTGTGTGGATGCATGACTCTTCGGGGGCAGCTGCCTCTGGGCCAGGAGGTGCGGGAGAGGAAATACAGTCTGGGGAACAGGGCTTCAACCCCCAGGGCAGATGGAAATTTCTGAGGGATTTTGGGCAATTTCCTCCTTGACAAAGTGAAAAAAATGAAGCACTGTGACCCCCTCCTGTGTGGCTGGCTAGGCTGCTATGAGAGGAAATGAAAGACATGGCTATTTTGAAAATTATAAGCTGTGCCCTCCAACTGGAAGATACAGAAAATGACAGTGGGCATCTTAAAAGACACCATCAAGCCTCTGTGAGAAGATTCTGGATCCCGTAGGGCCTCCCCAGGATGACTTCTATGACCCTGAAGAGAGGAGGCAGAGTGACAAGATAATAGTAAAAATAATGGTCAGCACTTGCTGGGTCAGACCCAGCTTGCTGGGCTAAGTGCCTTTTGTGCAATAGCTCACAGCGCTCTCACCACGTTTGGAGTCATTATTATTACATCTTCCATCTCACAGAGCAACTCTAAGAGGTCAGGAAGCTGCTGTAACATCACACACTACTCAGCAGCACCAGGACATACACCCAGGGCTTGCTGACTCCACGGCCAGAGCACTTGGCCACTCCACTAGACCAAAATTCTAATATCACGGGGACCTCAAGCAGCGCAAGCCCCCTCTGGACCTCAGTTTCCCTCTCTGTAGGAGAAAAGGAGGACGGGACCAGATACTCCAAGACCCCCTCCA